ATTTTAAGAATATTTGCAGGTTATGCAAACCCTATTATAATATCCTTGATTAACATACTGCCCAAGACAAAGTTTTGGAAAAATAATTTTTTCTTTTGTGAATTTTATTAAGAATATATATTTAATTCAATCAAGGGTTGATAGAAATCTATCTATAAAAATTCAATGCACCTTTTAGTCTTTTACTCATTGATCACGATACATCTTTATGTAGAAGATAAAGTAAAGACCAGTATCAGTAGATAATTTCAATGCTGGGTTTGAATTTAAATTTCAGTTCTCTAGAATAGAAATCAATGTACAATACAAATAAGATGAATTAAACTGTAATATAAATAAGAGATAAATTTAGATTTAAATAATAAAATATTAGAAATTTATATTAATATTTTTTCAATTTAAATTAGGTGTTTTTGTTATTTTTTCATTCATTAGTAGAAATATAACTATATTATTATGGAAATTAAAATTCTAAATGAAATCAATTCGAGTCTATATTAAATATGTAAATTTTATGATTCAATTAGTTAAATCATCATAATTTAAAAATTGAATGATAACATTTGTTTGACGAAAATGTTCAGAAAAGCAATGTTCTAAAATGTACGGATGATTAGAGTTCCTACAAATGGACACCAATTTCATACGAAGACTTTACATGTTGACATCCAGTGTCCAGTTACAAGCCTTCCCCAGTTGTGGCTTTATATTTTTTTGCGACTCATCAAGATTTCTGCCATCAATAATTATATACCAAGACACATGGAAATTTCTACAAAGAACATCCTATCGAGGATGAAATTAAATTTACTTTTCTCTTCAATTTTTCCCCTATACTTCCGGCACCATATAGCTTCTCACAGTTGCCAATTAAAGACCATATGAGGCGTTTTGTATCACTAAGAGTATACTGACTTGAAACCTTCTGTTAGAGGGACAACTTTCGCCGACACCTTAGACTGTAACATCAATGCAGCTTGACGAATATCCTGCATTTGACAAGGGAACCCATCATTTACATGATTTTGGAATTGGTAAGTCCACAATGTTGCAACAGACAACAAATTGGATGGTAAAACTATCTGTATATAAAGATTTTGAACAGGAAAACTCTAATGTTAGTTTCCTTTCTGATGAGCATGGCTTGAACCAGCTTTGCAAACTCCCATTAAGTTATCAGCTTACAGAAAGACAGTTGAGATGACCTTATATAGCCACATAATATGCAGTTAAATTCAATTTTACCTCTATATTGTACCGTGAGGAGAAATGTGTAAGCAATACTGCTTTATTCCGAATCCACTGGGCATTCTCAATTATCTGCAACTTACAGAAGACGTATATAACTGCATTATTGAATCAAGATTCGACTTTTACTTGCTACTTTAGAGAAACTAGGATTCCATCCTATAGAGAAACTAGGATTCCATCCTATATATGAAAATATTTTCTTATTTTTAATTTCTAACTTCATGTGTACAACACAGGTATTTAAACATTTTCTAAATTAATTTGTTTATGTATGCATTTATTCAAGAAAGTATAGAAAAGTTGCATACTTGTAGAACAATCAAAACACAAACAAACTAGTTTTCTAAAAGCACTAAAAATAATATTTTAAAATTTTCTAGCTTCAGTATCATTTTCACTATTATTCCCTTCATTGTCAACTCTCCCATATTGTTTTGTGAAGAAAATACATATGCATTTTGAAAATAAAAACTAAAAACATTTTCATGTACTGAATGGTCCTTCAGTTCTACCATAGGACCCATAATTGCATACCTCAAATAAATGTGTATGACCATGTTGCCGTGCATGGTCAATGCTAAAGCCTTCATCAAGGAAAGTTGCCTGTTAAAAAAGCATAGCCTTCAGAATTAGAAACCGCCAGATGTTGAATTGTAAAAATGCTGAATTGACACCATTCTCTTTGCTAAGCAGCAACAACCTTAGAAGCATCTATAGCTAGCAAAAGATACTTGAAGTTCTGGAAAATCCAGTGCAAATTAACAAAGGATAACAAGCATACAGTAATTATTTGACTGAACTATGATTAACAATGATTTGTGGTATCAAAGGTCCTGCATTTATACATTAAGGCACATAACTAAGGAACCAACCATAATGAGAAACCATACATACTTAATCAAGAAAATTTTCTCAGCAAAATTAACTTTTTAGTTTATTTCATAGTTGACTGGAAGTATGAGAAGAAAAAATATTAAGAAAATCATTTCACAGTCTTAGATGTTTAACTTGTCAGAAGTCAGGACAAGTTATCCTTCTTTCTGAACTGGATATTTCAAACTATATTTCCATGACAAAGTAATGTTTAGATAAGAAACTTAACTAAGAAAACATTTTTTTACCAGTAAAAATTCTATTCAATTCTCCTCTTAACATGTTCATATTTACTCAACAACAAGGAATGATATTAATACCTCAGTTATAAGAATTTTTGCCCTCAAGGCATCTGCATTACGTGGATCTAGCATATACTCTGATGTTGTATCTCCAGTAAAAGCCACCTCTGGAGACAATATAATGTCTGTAATCTGGAAAAGGAACCTTCAGGTTACATAACCTGTCAATTCTGTTTGAACCAAAATTCAGTAGGATTACAACCTCAACACCAGATTTCTTCAATTTTTCGATTTGCTTGCCTTTCAGATGAGAGTATTGCTTCTTCAGCTTTTTACGGATGGAGTATATGACATAACCCTGAGCACAAGGAGCAACTTCATATATCAAAATAAGTTTTAATCCTATACTGTGGAGCTTAGATACATAAAATTTTTCTTCAAACCATAGATTCAAGCCTGGACGTAGGTTTTCTGAACCAGAGTCAATTGGAACAAAGTCCACTTAACACTTTAGAAATGGGGCAGAGACAATTTTCTCCTTCACTGAGATAAATGTTTCCACTAAATGGGAAAAAAGGTAACATTCAAGATTCAGATGCAATGATATCAAGCCTCGTCAAAAAATAAAAGAATAAAAAGACGCAGTGATATCATACATGCAGAATCGAAAATTAAATCACATGGCATTGGATCAGCTTATTTCTCAAGGGGAAAAAAAGATATATTTCCATTAGAAAATTATCCAGTAAAGAGAAGAAAACTAATAGATGTCTGATTATTTGAAAAGTATAACCTACATTTTCCTCATGCAAGCTTCACATATTTGTAGTGATAGCTCAACAAATCTTACCTGGCTTGGTATAACATGGTGAGTCCTAAATGGTCTAACAACAATATCATTCCGCAATTCATACGTTTCACCTGAAACCACTCAAGAAAAAGCTGCCTTCAGCATAAAAATAAAGAGCTACAAACGTGTAAGACAAAGCAAAAAACAGAGAGCCTTAGCTATGCACCTATATCTAAAGCAACTAAATCAAGATTCAGTTCCACATTGCCCATTGCTCTGTGAATTTCGAACAGCTTCTCTACATCCTCTTTAATGCATGGAGGAACAAAAATTTTTGGAGGCTCTAAGTTGTACAACCCGCGACTAGCTACATACATTGGCAGCCCGCCCTGGGACAGTAAATAATATAATACCAGCTCAGGTTAACATGTATAACCACATCTTGCAGCAATCAACTCTGCCCGTGAGGACAATGACGTCAAATAACAAAGTTAAACAAGAATACCATGTTGCAGAACTTAATCCATTTTAGAGTAACAAATGGCGGACGAACTAGAAGATGATTACTGAATTGAAAAAGTGAATCAACCAGAAAAAAAAATCAACAAGCTAATTCAAGCTCCAATGCCTACTATCTAATACAATAACCACAAACTTATAGATTATTATATATACACAGATATCTCCAAATAGTCTCAAAATCAGAAACCTCCACAAGCCAACCAAATGCTATAAGCTCAAAAATGTCTTGGCCAGGAAACAACCGACGGGGGACGGAGCATGTAAAAGCCTTCAAGGAAAGAGGCTTACTATGTGATCAAGATGGGCATGAGTGATGAATACAAACTTCTGCTGGATAGCGCGTGAAGGACACCTGCCAATATCGAACGCGCACTTCAATTCAGGGATAATCACACACGTTTCTTGGCCTCCAACCGAAACGCCTTCGATGAAATAGCCTTCCAGGTCCACTCCCTTTCGCGTCACTGCGGCTCGGGCCTTGCGGTACTCTTCTTCCTGCTCGATGGCGAGGCCAATTGAGGATAAATAGCCCGAGCCTTTGAGGGAATTTACAGGATTGACATGGTTTTGGACTAGGAAAGAGAACTGGTGAATTGGTGTTGGCTTATGGGAGATGGAATGGTAGTGGTGGTGGCCGAAAGGGAAAACAGATTGGAGTTTCGACGGTAAAATGGGAACAGAAGTTAGCATCTTCGGTACATAAGATAGAGTTTGCGCCTCTAGCCGAAAGAAAGAAGAAAGGAGCAGGGTTTTTGCGAGGTTTCTCAGCTTGTTTTTGTCTGGATTCTGGAGCGCCAGATATTTACAGAGCTTAAACGGTGCGTTTTGTCATCAGGTTTTTCATGTTTTCATTTACCATACCTTTTTTCCCGCCATTACTTTTTCACATTTTCAGCGATTGAACATTTATCCTTTCCTTCTCAATTGTGAGGGAAAAACTGGAAAGGAAAACTTGAGGCAGGTTTAAATTTAATCTTTTACGGCTACCAGACACAATTAATACAATCAACTTGAAGAAAGACAAATTTCTGAACGTTCAAGGAGTTACAGTGTAATTTTTGTTGTACAAATGATTATATTACAGTCTATATTCTGTACGTCCCTACATCCCGTGCTTGAAAGGGTTATATCTGAACCCTATGCATTGAGAGATTGCACAAAGAGTTGCCCTTGATCCAGTCCACCATTGAAAAAACACTGCATTCACTGGGAGAAATATGCTTCTGTCTTTTCTTTCTCAGTAAACATTCAGTCGGACATTTGGGCAATGTCTTGATAAATTTACCCCAACTGGATCAGAAGCTGCCATATTTGTAAGACTCTGCATATGTCACATCACTGCAGACTGTAATTCTCGAAGATGAAGAGATGATTTCAGCATTTTGAAGAGTGAAACCATCAATGATGGGCAAAGGAAAGCCTTTCTCGAGGTGTGCGTTTGCATAAGGTAAGAAAACAGTTTGGATGATCGTCCACACAATTGGCTGCAACAATATGGAAAATGCATAATTTGGATTCTTATTAGATAAATACGGATGAAAAACCTGATGCTTTATAATCATTACTGTGTATGTTACCTGGATCAGATACATGTGCAGACTACCAACTTTGCTCCATTTCAGTGACATTGCAAAGTCATTTAACTTAACGCTGCCACCAAGATTGTTACCTATGATTTTAACTGAACCTGAGCCCTGCATTACCTGCAAATGCCGTAGGAATTGAGTTATAATGACCTCCAAGATTCATTTCAAGAGTAGCATCCAAGCTCCAAAAGTTGATCTTATCAAAAACAAAAGTAAAAAACATTTAAACAAAATGTTCAAATGAACATAAACCCCGAGTTAAGATAAGACATAAGACGCAATTGAACCACACGATCCTTGATACAGTCACTACCTAAAAGCTCTTTTCTGTAGGTTTATAAGCCAGTGAAATGAGGGAAAGAAGCTGAAGCTGCTGAAGCTTTGGATGTTCCTGAGATTAGGATAAAAAACTTCTTGAAGATATATGTAACAGCAAGAATGAAAGTGGATCAGATTATGGTATCCACACTTGGAAACATTAGAGGTACTATGCTATTATTTACTGGATAATTATCCATACCAAATTTAGGAAAATTATTAGAAACAACAGGCATCAGCACTTCTCTATTTTATTTTATAAGGTAGCAATCCTGAAGGCCAGTAATTTCTAAGGTTATTCAAAGCTGAATTACATCACTGTTTAGTCATATGTGTTAAAATTTTGAGCAGCTGATACTAGACAATATCACCAGCTATCTGTAAAAAATCATCAGTCTCATCTCTATCATGACGACAGTGATGATGCAAAATTAGCACGATAATGAGCTAACGGAAAAATGGAGGTAATAGAAGAATGGAGAAGGGAATACTGACAATATGAACTGAAGGACAAAGATGATTCTTACACTTTCAGCAATAAACTTACCAATGAGATGCATGCAACTGGAATTACTTGGTCTGCTTCCAGAACATCAATTACCAAGTCTGCATGAATTGTAGCATCTATATTATGATCCAAAATCCTTATGACAGGAGGTGAAGACAATGAGACATTCAAATTCATATTATCATTCGGGTATTTCTTATATAATTGAGGAATAATAAATCTCCATCTTGCAGTGTTTAAGAGAGACTGATCTGGTACTTTATCCACAATCCACTGCATAAATTCAGCCTGAACATGAAAAGAAATCTTCATTTAACAAAGAAAAAGAAATGAGGGAAAACATAAACATAAAATGCATCAGTGCTTTCAAGTATGTGCGCGTAGTAACTTCAGAGCTACAAAAAACCATGCTCTCAAATATCTCTAGATATTTTCTTTCAAAGTTCAAACTTTATGAGGTTTGTGCTAGACACAAGTTAAGGTGGGTAACAAATGGTAACAAGTAAGATTTAGTCCAAAACAGTTAGTGATGTGTAAGCAATGTAAACCATGTTTAATACCCATAAAATCAAACATAATTAGACATCATAAAATGTCCACTAACACCTCTTTTTCCCAACAAAAACAAAGGAATATGCAGTAGTGTGACATTGTACATAACCCTAATGTTTGTTAATTTTACTTACATTATAGTATAAGGCTGATGCAGAGTTAAAGACAGCTTCTTCTAATGAAATCTCAACCATTTTAGACTGATCTGTGCAGAAAAGAGAAGATTCTGAACTCTTATGATAGTACTTCCCAACAGAGGCCTTTTTCCTTGATATGAATAATCCATTGATGTCAAAACCAATGGAAGCATTACTCAATGAGGGTTCACCAACAAAGGTTACATTCAAAGCAGCAATATCATCCACAAGAATTTCTTTTGGAAGACCCTGGAGAAATGAATCAAGCTGTAAGATCCCTTCTCCAAGTTTCTTGGTGAGAGTACTTTCTACAGCAGATGCTATTTGCCCTTCAAATGCATCAATCATCCTGTAAAATGAAAAGGAAAAAATAATGGAAAATCAGAGACTGCAATCTTCTTCAATGAAACAGACCAAATAGCCCTCAGAAACAATTGAAAATGGCATGAAAAAATCTGACAGTAGGAATAACCACCACACAACACAATTAGGATGCATAGATGCACATCCCTACTTAACTGTTCAGAAGGATCAGATATCCAACAAAACAAAGAAAAGAATGATAGTTCTGTTAACATAAAGGCGGTAGAAAAAGCAGCTCTAAAGAATGCAGTATCAGATTCCATTATTGCTGGATGCCTGAACATGATGAAAATGTTTTTAATACCCAAAGATAGTGGGAGTTTTGAAATCATCAAGAAAAACCCTGCCTTTTTGAATTAACCTCAGCTAGATTGCAACGCAGAGTAAACAGAAGAAAGTGGCAGACTCAGAAAGCTAATATTCATGATCAACAAGAAACAAAACCACACTGAATAGCAAAGAGAAAAGTAAAACCACTTTGGGGCAGGATGAATCAACTTTCATTAGCCAATACTAGGATGATGACAACACCGAGAAGAAGAAAGATGCTGCAAGGAAAGAAAATCATTAAAACTTAAAAAGAAAATAAAGAATTTCTACAGCAATACACACGATATCCAGGTACTTGCTTGGGAAGGGGAGGTGAGGCAAGAAAATCCCTACATTAAGTTGGATCATAAAGGAGTTACTTTGTTGCCATCTATCCCTCAGCGGTTCAAAGCGGGGAAACCCCAATATATTCGATAATTAAGTTTTTGTTTTTTTTGGGCTAATAACCAGATTGAAAAAAACCAAAGTGTTACACAGAAAGGATACAGAATCCAAAAACTGGTTCTTTGATTAGGACAAACTTTACTGTTACATGTCACAATTGATTACAAGGAGGAAAAACTACATGCCTCTAATACATAAATCTTTTGAAAAGTTTAACCACCAATAACTGAAACAACACCTGAAACAAATCAATGAACAAATAACAAAATGCATACCCTTGATAAAGCCAGGATGCCCCTCCATCCAATTTTATGGATATATTTTTGACATAACAACCACAATCGAAAAGGGATAGCTTCAGAGTTCCTTCCTGGTTCTCCAAGCCTAATGTTAAGCCCACTTCCATGCCTTCAACCTTACCCATAAGCAGCAGTCATGAAATACCCTTTGTTAAAGGACACATAAATATGAGGAGACAAGCACAAACCAGAAAGAATACTTTGCCACTGAATAAAATTTGGGCATTTTTGGCCTCTAAACATGATACCCTGAAAAATATCGATTCATACTTGAACTAAATGCAGTTCCCGCATAGAAATTTCAAAAATCCTGAAACCTTAATTACATAACTAAAAATTTGAATAACCATTTTCTACTCCAGATATTGGATCCTCGCGCCAAATACAAAACCAGCCAATAAATTACCAGAAACTTAATTAATTTTAGACGATATGCAGCAGAAAAGACACACACATCATGGCATTAACAACAAAACTCCATTAATTGCAGGGTTAATCCAAGATGATTAGGACACTGAATCAGCTTCCAACTGCATATCATAAACAAAAAATCCGTTTGCATAAAGTCGGAACATGCAGGAACCCTTTTATCGAAATGGGAAAGACCCAACTATTACGCATAGAACACAAGCTTACCAAAAACTGAAAAGGGGTCGGGAGTCTTAAAACGAAACAAAGAGTACTCTTAGCAATACCTGAACAGAAGCTCGGCCTTTATCAGAAATCACAACGGGCACAACCCAAGTATTGTAAGAATAATGCCATTTCATGCTCAAATTGCAGGTAGTTCCCGAGGTAACAATGGCGACGCCAGTATCACCGGGCTTAACAAAGGACGACAAAACATCAATCTGGTATATTGTAATATTTGATACTTCCATGAAAATATTGCCTAAAAATGGGATCTTAATGGTCTTCTCGATCTTTGGTAGCTTTAGAGGGAGCGCTGAAGATATTGCTTTGTGGATAAGCAAGTCCTTGACGAAATCAAGGCCTTGCTCGGATATTAAGATTGATGTGAAGGACTCAGAGTCTTCTGTCGCTAAGGACTGGAGATTAAGAGAATTTGAGGGAAGGAAGAGGACGGATGATATGAGAAGTAGGATAATAGCGGTTGGTGCCATTAGACGAAAATTTAATGTTACAGTAGTTTCATAGCACAGACAAGAACAGAGGAAGAAGAAGCAAGCAATGGAGTCATTATCTGTCATCAGGTTGCGTTCAAAATTACCTTTCTTGTGAAATGTCCAAAATATCCTTGTCACAGTAATAGTACATTTTCTTTTTTGTCGTGTCACCAAAAATATAATCTTAATCAACACTTACGTTGCTTTATGATAAATCTTAAGTAGAAATTTTTTATTAATTTTTTAAAATTTACTATTTTATCTAATATTAATTTTTAAAAAATAATTTTAAATTTATATTATTTATTAATATAAAATTATTATGGTAATAATTTATTTTAGTAAAAAATTACCATATGATTATTCAAGAATTAGAAATAAAATTAAGTTCATTTAGGTAATCAATTTTGTTTTATATCAGTAAATAAGTTAAACATGTAATTTTTTCATGTTGACCTTTTTTTAACCTTTTACTTCAAACTCAAAGGAAAGAAAAAAACAAGAGGATACAAGTTTTTTTTTTTTTTGTTGTTGCAAACCTTAATTCCTAATTATAAAAATTGATATTTGTATTATCTATTTTCTTCTTTTACTTACGGTCGAATTCAATCAACCAGCCAACGTCTTCCAAATAATCATCCTTCGAGGTGAAAAGTCGCAGAACGCACCAGAAGCCGACGGCTGAACCTCAAAGCGCCGGCGACTCCCCAAAACGATGGCTTTACAAGCTGGAGTCTCCACCTCAAAAGTTCTCATCCTCGTTGGAGCAGGTCTCTTCTCTCTTTTCTCTCCGGCCTCTCAAAAGTTATTTATCACTTGATTAAAACACTTGAATTGAATCTGGTTCAATTTTCTAGTTTCTTAGATTTTTCTTAAGAAATTTCTATTGATTAAATTTGTTGAATTGTTACTTAATTTTTTTTTTATAACTGCTGCTATACTGGGAGTACTTAATTGAACCGATGTACTTTGTGATCTTGACTTAATTAAGTTGAAATAGATGGTGTTTATGCAATTTTCATCCGAATAAACAGCGCTACGTTTTGAGCAATACTGCTTCTTCTTGCGGTGATCAGTTCTGCTATAGAAATTTGATCTAAGCTCGCTGTTATTTCTCCACAATAGCGTGATGAATTACTATTTTAATCATCCAACCATTATAAATGAGTCCAGGATTTTTTTTTTCACGGTTTGTTACAGGAACTTACAAATTCTCTCAAAATGTGAATTTTATGAATTTGTTTACAGAAACTACAAAATTCTTAAAGTCCAAAAAAATGATTTAAAATATAAAACTCTATTAATCATGAATCAGAATCCCAAAAATAGGAAAAAAATACAAAAACTTGTTCTTCTGGGCGTCTTCTTCTTCCAAATATTCTGTTATTATAATATGCATTCTGTAAATAATGTAATTTCATTGTATTTCTTTTTCTTAAGGTAATTGATCCCTACTTTATTTCAAAAAAAGGTAATTGATCTTTAGTTATTCTAGCGTCTAATATTCAAAGAAAATGTTAGGCAGACAGAAAAACTTACATAAAATTTGACAGTTTTTTAAAAACTTGTATGAAATAGTTTTGTGAGTTTTTGGAATTAAAACAATATTTTGCAATCCAATGGTAATGTGGTCTATAATTTACAGACTAGAACAATAAGTTGCTTTTTTCTTTTTCCCAAATCCTTTATTTTAGGGCTTAGGTAGTTGCTATAATGGTGTCATAACCTTTAAAGATACAGTCTGCTTTTCTTCCCCACAGTTTCTGGGCTGCTGTTTGGACAGTATTTTATCCTGCTCCTTGTTTCGGGTTTTTTATGTTGTATTACTACTCATGATATTCAGATATGAATGTGTATGCATAGGTACACATATATCTCTCATTTATGCATGTAAACATGTAATCATGCTTGTGGGCACATGCATGAATAATGCGTTTGATCATTTTTCTCTATGGAAGTCAGGCACATGCTCCAATTCTCATTTTTCATGGTTCTTGAATTTCTTTTTTGTTTTTCTATTCTATTGAAATTTCAGGTTTGACTGGCTCAATTGTATTGAGGAGCGGGCGATTGTCTGAGCTCATTTCCCAGCTTCAAGAATTACTTGGGGGCGTGGATGAAGTTGGAGTCTCATCCCATAAATATGATACTGCGCTAATTGCAGCTCAGGTATGGCAAATTACTTACTGGCTTCAGTTTCTTCACAACATTTAGCTTTTGAATAGAGGGCAATGGAAATGTGACTTGCAGCCTCACTTTATTGGATCTTTCAATCACCATGAGGCTCAAAGTTTAGGAAGGATAACTTTAATACTAGCCTTCCTCAAACAAACAGTAAGGTATTAACTTGCTATAGTGCTTGGCGTAATCTTTTAGGTGGTGAGGCTTTCTTTCCTTGGGAGAGTATCCGGAAGGTCAAAATAAAAAGCCTTCAGAAGCGTCTTTTTTGTCTAGACTTCAACATTAACTAAGTTTTGTGATGAATAGTCTCTTCAGTTGGTGGGGCGTGTTATAAGAATATTGATCTGGGTAAGGGTTATCTACCGTTGTTGACCCCTTGCCTAGAGTGTTCTTGCTGTTTCAGAAAAAATTGTGGCACTGAGTGCTGCTATAACTTTTTTAGAGAAAAAAGAAATTGGAAACAAAGTTGATAATCAGAAAACTGATGAAGTCAGAATGTTATCTATACTGAGAGCCTCCTATTTAACAGTTCTATTACAAAAACTAACAATGTCACTCCATGAAGGTCATATTTATTTCTGGGATATGTTTTTCCTCCATTTACCTTCAGGTTCGACAACTGGCACAAGAGATCAAAGAATTAACATTGTCCAATCCAGTAACCATCTTTAATGGGAATTCTGCCTCTAGTGGTATGTATATGAAATTCTTCTTTTTCTAACTGTAGGTATTTTATATCTCTTAGGTGGCCTAGTGGACCACAACCAATGCTTCCAATAGGAGGTTAAGAAATCTTTGATCAATTCTCTTAAACAAAGGAAAAAATTTGGAAATATCATGTACAAGTCAGACTTTAAAATTAAAAAAAAAAAGCAATGCAGGAGTGATATTAGAAGCTGTGCTTTACCAAGTATTTTTTCCCATTTTGAAGTTAGTTTACTCTCCAACATTAAACGCTAGTCACAGTATGAGTTTATGTAAGAAGATTCCAATAATCAGAAAAAGCCAAAGTAAACAGCTCTACAATATAATTCACATTTTTCCCTTTCATTGAAGAAAGAAAAAGGGGTCTATTAGACCCAGATCAATAAATGAGCCAAGTAGCATCCTTCTCTGGAGAAGTTAAAAGAATCATGCAATGTCTTTGTTGAGACTATTACAGAAACTTTTGTTGGAGATTTTACATGGTTTTATCTTTTTTCTTAAATTAGATTTTGCTTGGAGTAATGTTTGGATCTGTTTTCATGGGGTCACTATAAGAACAGTAATCAAATCAAGTATCCCTTAGCCAATAGTATTCCTATAGTAGCACTCGATTGAAGTGACAGACTAATAGGTCCCATCCCTTTTTTTATTTTTATTTAAAAAGCTACAGGTGCTATAAAACTTAAATTAGATGACTTTCTCCTCTTTTCTTCTCAACCCTGAGGTAATTATTGCCTGTTAATCTTTAGTGCTTCAGTGCAATCTTCTCCACCAATATAATTATCATGGAGGTCTATCCATTGTTCTAAAGGGTTTCAACCAGGATTTTGTGCCTGTGCCGTAAATCTCGGTATAAAGGACGCATCTCACAATCCCAAGCTCAACCAAAAGTGTTAAGATTTCGACTGTACTTCAACTAATTTGTCCTTTAACCTATAGAACTCAATTGAGCCAACTTATCTTTAAATTTGTTTTTCCAATTTTGGCCTGCTGGGAGAATGTAAGAAATCCTCCTAAGCCAAAAAAGGATGAAAAAACAATCTTATAAAATTGGTATAAAATGCAACCCAATCCTTTTTGCAAGATAGCTCAACAAACATCCTTAAAGAATGAGCCTTGGCGCACAAAAACCATTCTGTCCCAAGAAAAGAAAGAGAAGTATTAATTCTAGAAGAGTTTATTGTTGCTCCAACCATGATACTGTCAGGACCCAACTATAGTGGTTAGGTTTGTCTGGCTAGTTAGAAATTATTTTCAAGTAATTACTTCTCAGCTATAAAAGGTAGAGTTGGAGCAAGAAGGAAGCTAGTGCATCTTGGAAAAATTGCCTCTTGTTAGTTTATGGGTATTGTCAGGTACCTGCCTGACCTGGGAAGAACTAAGGGAAGAAAAGAAATGATTTAAGAAGAAGAAGAGCTTGCTGCAGAAAGAAGTTTTAAATTTCATGATGCCAAAAGTTTCGAAAAGTGTAGATTGAAATCGCCAAGGCACCTCATAATGCAGAAGAGATGAAAAATACCCTCACTCTCTTTGAAACACATAACACACATCTGGGAAGAGAGCACAGTTGGGACTGTAGACATGCATGTGTTGAGCCTATTAAGAAAAGTTGTCCAAATAAAAACCTTTACCCTAGAGAACTTTAGCCTTCAAAAAAGTACTGGTCAAATTTTCACTGAGACAAGTAGAGTTATGAATAAGATGATTAAAGAGGAACCTTAACGTGTACACGCTCGAAGAATCCGAGGTACAAATTCTGTTACCGGGGTGTGGAAAGACTATTAAAGGCTCAAGGATATGAAGGAAAAGTATATCATCTGACTCAGTTGTTTAAATTGCTAAGAAAGAACAAATTTCAAAAGATGTGCCCATCAAGTTGATTAATGAAGTGATAGATAGGGACATTGTGGAGCAACCAAAAGTTACGAAGACATGGAAGAAGGCTAGCAAGGGGAAAGTCGACAATCGAGGTGTCTTCCTAAAACAAAACTCTGGAGCCATCAATTTCAAAGGGTAAAATGAATCAGAAGATCATAGAGTTGAGAGATGCTTTTGAGAAACTCCTGTGGCTCATGGTACTCCTAGCTTCAGGATTTCAGCCATTCCTTTCTAACCCGAACGTTCTCTCTTGGTCATCCTGTGCTGCAAAGAAAACAAATCATGTGTCAGTAAATCTCTGAATGTTTTAGATTTGAGTTCGGAAGGGAAGTTGCAAAACTAGCTGCTGATGGAAGGTATTGAATGGAAGGTCTTGCATAAAAACACTTATGATTGATTTTAAGAATCAATTGTAATTTACTGGTGCATCAATCAGTGTGAAAGCATAAGTTGGTCGTTACCATGCTGAAGGAAAAGTATGCTAATCAACACGGTAATTTTTCTGAGAGACAGTAAAAACACGGAGCATCCTGAAATGTAAACTGGAACTTTTTGCACATTTACATATATTTCCTACATTTAAAAATGTTTCCTTTTAATTTAGTAGGTCAGATATTAAGAGCTCTGTGATCTTATGTTTATTTTTGTACTGTTAGGGAAGCCAGATATACTAGTATAAACACATTGTAGCTAAGTAAATAATTCTATTGGCATTGACAACTTACTTTCGTCTCTGAACTTTCAAGGCTTATGTTTCATATCAGAATTACAATCAGTTTGACTAAATGATCCTATTGGCATTGTCAACTCCTTACCCTCATTCCATACTTTTATACATTTGCATGTGAACAGGGAGCTTTTCTTCTTATCTAGTGCCAGCTGCCGCTCTTGGAGCTATGGGATATTGTTACATGTGGTGGAAGGTAATTTTATTCAAAGCTAAACCTTCTTCAGTCGGAATAGCTTTTGGCATTATGCTTGAAAGCATATGCAAGCTGCTGTTTTTTTCATTTACTCTCTACTTCTCTAATTTGCAGGGTTGGTCATTTTCTGATGTAATGTTTGTAACAAAGAGTAATATGGCTAATGCTGTTGCAACCGTGTCAAAACAATTAGAGCACGTATCAGAAACATTGGCAGTAAGCAGGATTTTTTTTTCTTATATGTGACTTAATTCTTTCATATTTTAGCCACTCTTTCCTCTCGGCAGTTTGAAAAAAGTTTGATTCCACTCTACTATCTATTCATGCAGTCAACAAAGAGACATCTCTCAAAGAGATTGGAAACTCTGGACTGGAAGGTGGAGGAGCAGCATGAAACATCTAAGTTGATTGCTAATAATGTAAAGAAAATCATTTCCTCTTACGTTAAATACCTACTTTAACTAATGGATAAGTTCTCTGTTTTACTCAAGTGAATGATCCCAGCGCAGACTCAAATAGCTTCTTCCCACAATCATGTACCATGTAGCTTCCTGTTGCATGGTAGTAGTTTAGAATTAAATATTATAAAAGTAAAAAAGAAAAGTTGGGACTGGACTAAGTGAAATCAAAGATCATTCTAGTAGGTTCATTTGATTGGGTCCTTATATTTTCCCTCCAAAATGATGGATTTGGTTCATAAAATTTCTCAGTATTCATCAAGAGACCAGCTGTTTCTTTTCCCTGATCATTATTTTTCTCCTTTGACATTATCTAAAAAATAGGTTCAAATGGATGTTTTCATTCACCAAAATTTGATATCAGTCTTCTGTTTCTTTAGGCTATGTTCAGAACAAATTAAAGAATGATATGGAATTCATTTGCTCATCCATACATAGTTTAACCATCTGAGTGTCAATTGTAGTATGATCATAAAAATATTAAGTATATTTGAAATTCATGAGAATTATGCCAACATAACCTAAATTTCATCAGTATTTTTTCAGTTCCACATGGAGTTCTATATGAACTCAATTTTTATCACTTAAACAGTACTTTCTCATTATCTTATAATTAAATAACTGTAAACTTGTAAATAAATTCTAAAAGAATTTGGATTTGTTCCAA